TAAATACTTTATTTCTCTTTTCATCCAGGGGAACTACCACTAATGTAAATAAAATTTCCATGAAATCCTGGGGAAGTCATAATATTAGGGCAATTAAAATATTCCTTACCATATCTATATCAGTTATACAAAGTCATTTTGGTATAAATAGAAAGTTTGAAACAAGACAAGATAAATACGAAATGTTTAGATGGCAAACATACTAAACTTTAGGAAGTGCATCACCTCAAATTATGTGTTTTCTGTTCCGTATCAAGTTGAGGCAGTGTCAGATTCTAAAAATTGTCAGAGTGAAACATTAATATAAGTGTATGAGAAGGAAGATAACAGAGACAAGCAGTCAGGTCTATATTGGAATGAACGCATACACAAATGTTTCTTTTGTATGACAGCCTGTGGAAATTAGGATACTGCCTTTCAGAAGCAAGTGTAAATTTCTTCATAATCAACCTCTTAGTAATACTGGTGTACAAATGCAATTGGAGATGCAAAAGTAAGATTCAGAAGATAATAAATTTAATATTTGGGACTATCACACAAACGAAAACTAAGGAAAGTTTATAGAAGAGCATAAAGATCAGAGGTATAACTTTAAATTGTCTATATTCTGTTATAAGTAAATGGAGATACCAGTGTTATAAGGGTTAGTCAAAAAATACAGAGTGAACAGCTATAAAGAACGACAAATTTGTGAAATTTGTTGGAAAATGGATGCAACTGGAAATAGACTGTTGAGTAAAATAAATCAGACACATAAGCTTAAATGTATAGTATCTCTCAGTTAAGTAAGGCAAATTACAAACAAAGACGCTAATAAAGGTTGGATGGAAGAGGACAAGAGGATAATTCTCTTGCAATAGGGAAGTGGTCCAAGGGAATAAGGATGAGGAGTGAGGAGGAGGGGAGGGGGAAATAAGAATAAAGATATGCCATGTACAGCTATCTAATAACCTCGATGAATATAAACACTGTATGCCATAACATGAGCTAAGATTAATAAATCAACAAAAATGCAAATCAGGATAGGGGAATTAGAGGAGGAGGGAGGAAGGGAGAGAGAAGGGAAAGGGGATTAAAAAAAAGAAACTAGTGATAGTATGTATACGTCTTCACTCCCCAAGATGATTGTAAACTACATGTACTGTGAATATGTACTAGTAAAATTTTTTAAAAAGTTAAAAGAAACAGGGTGAAAATGACCTAATTATATGAAAGAACTCAGCACACAGAGGACACCTTTAGTTGAAACAAAGGCATTTATGTTATGAATTAGCACTGAGCATTCGATTTCATTGGACCTTTACAACTTTTACATTTAAAGTTCCTGTAGAATTTGACTATTTCATTGACATGAAAGTAACACAGTTAAAAACCTGAAATGAATGGTTGTAACTGCTGCTCAAAGTAAACTGTCATCAGAGAGATTTTGCAAAAGAGTAGCTGCTAACAAAAAATTGTTTAAAATAGTAGAGAATGTATCTTCAGGATGGCATGAGAGAAATTTAATGGCTGGAGGGTGAAAGGATAATGCACTAAATTGTACGTCCTGACTAATTATGAGTTAAAAGAGCTAATGTTCATTTAGAATCCACAGAAACAGGAAACAGGAGGGGCAGGGTGTGTGAAAGTGTGTGTTTAGGGTTTATTTGTTTCAGCTGCTAGTGTTATCATCTCTGAGGCGTAGTGCCTAAAAAGATGTGGACTTTTCTTCCTTACATGGAGTTGCCCTTGGCCCTAAATGCAGCACAGGGCTGCATTTCCAAGCCCTCCTACTTTTAGGTGGGCCACATTTTTATCACAGGGATCTGAGCAGAAGGAATGTGAGGATCTTCTAGGGCTGCAGTGGATATGAAGTGGGAATTCTGAATTCAGTTCGAAGCATAGGTCACAAATCATTAACCTGGGACTGTGATTGTCACCTGAAGTGAGGCCAGTCTTGAGAGACTGAGCACTTACCTCCTAAGATCTGACCCTATATGTAGGAAGAATGGTGGCTAAGATTGAGTTGAATTAGAAGACACCCATCTAGTGTCCACTGGAGAATTGGTTAGTGTTTGTGGAAAACCCTCATACATCCAGTGTCAGAAGTGAAGAGTTGAGTGTCTGTGTGAGCATAAGAGAATGGAAACTGCCTTTGGTTTTTCTCCAGTTTCTGAGAACCTAAATATCCTGGCTCCCAGCCAGTCCTCCAAGGATCAAATCAGACTGTGCTTTACAGAGCCCCCCTTCTCCTGGTCCCAAAGCTAAGCAACAGCAACAACAACAAACAACAATAACAACAACAACAACAAACCAAATAGAGCCAAAGCCCCAATTAAAGTTCATCAAGAAGGCCAGGGAAACACAAGAGTCCCTCGGATCTGGGAAAACATCATAGCCATGTGACCTGTAAGACCATGTGTCGAATCTTCTTTCCCTTCTGTATTATTTTTCCCAAGAACCAAAGATTTAATAGTGCTTCCCCTATATCATTAATATCCAGTGTAGTCTGGATCTGCCCACCAAAATATGAAGATGATTAACAATTTGAGTTTCTGCCCATCCCATTCAGATCTGCCAAATGGAACCTATGTCCCCCAGATGATTTGTGCGTACATTAACACAGAGAAACACTATTCTACACTTCCTGGCAAAGAATAAAGAATAGTCCTACTGGGCAGTGAAGGCACTGACCATTCTACATCTCAAAGACACTATAAGGGTCAGTTTCATGTGGCTCAAGAACCGATTTCCACCCACAAAGTTCCATTCCCATCATTTTCAGTAGTTACAGTGCCTAATGTCTCTACCCTCTTGCAAGAGACAGGAGAAATAATACCTTCTACACAGCTGCATTGCGAGCACAATCATTACTGTGGCATTCCCCCGACCATAGGGTTTAGCAATTTGGCACACTCCTTTTGAAAGACCCATAAACTCTGTTCTATACAACACAGGAATATACATCACCATCATTTTCATACGAGGTGCCTTCTCCTGCTATGTTTGAAATTCCTCTGTGCACACTATGAATGAACTATTGTTATTAATAGTCACCCAGAAAAACTTTTGCAAAGGCAGAGTAAATCTAGAACTAAAAGTTACTAATGGACAAGACATCTAATGGCTGCCATATTTTAAAGTTTGATACCATCAATGTTTCAGTGGTACTTATACTGTAAGTACCACATGAGAGAGTACAACAATTTTGAATACAAAAAATTTGGATTCCTTTTTCTTGGTAAAAAAAAGATGTTTTTAGATAAAATTCTATGAAACATGTACTGTACTCAATTGGTCAGACACCACTATGCAATAGCATTGCTATCTTCCCTTCTTCCATCATTTGGTGTTTATTGTTCAGTTCATCCCCCAAATTCACATGGTGGTGCATGTGTGACCCTTGGAATCAGAGTTATTTCTTGTTAACACACCCAGTTTTTTATTTATTAGTTGAGAGTCAAACTGTTCTCTTGTAGAAAGATCACTTTAGAGATACACACAAACACACACATGAGGGTATCTAGGTTCTGTTCTCAGGTGAAATTAAACTCCATACTCAATAAGAAAAATTTGATTCTCAATGTCCTCATGTTCTGTGTTTCTCTAAAAATCCAGTGCATTTTGTGACTCTGCATAGGAGACCATTTTCCAGCCATATAGGAACTAACCAGCCTCTCATACCTGGCATCTGCTCCACCAGGCTTTATAGAGCATGGATCAGCTGACTGCAACCCACACTGATCTCTGAGAAGTCCTCTTTCATTTAACACATCCTACCTTGTTCTTTATATATTGATGTACTACTATAAGTTGTTTTGCTTATATGCAGAAGGCTGGGGACCCAGACTAAGGAAAAGTCCAACCTGTGCTACTTTTAGGCATGTACATATACAAATGTACTTTTTTTTTTTTGTACCGGGGCTCGAACTCGGGAACTTGTGCTTTCAAGGCAGGCGCCGGAACCACTGAGCTAAATCCCTGGCCCCAAATGTACTTGATTACACAACCTGTGCACACGACCTGATAACAGGACCTTGTTCATATATTTTTCATGATGACAATATTAACTAATCTATGTAGAGTGCTGTCAATATACACTGCATGTTGGTTTGTAATGATTCAAATAGAAGCTTTTATTAAAAATTCATTTTATTTTCATTTTCAGTAAGCCCTGCCTGAGTGTGTCCATTTGCACACAGTAATGAAGAGTCAAGTGCTTGTTAACCCCTGAGTAAAAGGGACACACTTATTCTTCTGATTAGTCTTACACTTGCTCTCATGCAGAACTTTCAGAAGGTTCTGCATGTGAGAGATGATTCTGACTGCAGGGCATATTTTAAAAAAGGATTCATAGGTAACATCCTGAAAAGCCAGTATAAATATATGGGGATTCATCCCTAATCACTGACCATATATATATATATATATATATATATATATATGTGTGTATATATATATATACATACATATATATACACACACATATATATATATACATATATTAGTTTCTCTGATACTTTTCTTCACTCTGATCAATGGACAGATGCCAAGCTTTACCCCTTTACTAGCTATCAGCCTACTAGGTGATCTGCTTTGTAGGACTTTTTCTTCTCTTGTTTCTCCTATGCATCTGATTTTGTGGGCCTTTATGTACAATACTGATGCATCAATATGACTCAGTAATTCATATAAAATTCCTGAATAGCATGTGCAGTGAGTAACTAAATTCCTCTGAGAACTGCTTGGTCTGGCACAAGCCATTGTGGGAGAAAGGACAAGTATGCTGCTGAGCTTTGAGGACAACTGCCTTTGGCAGCTGCTTTTTAAAAGGATTTTTTCCAAAAATTTAAGATCTCTGTCTTACTGTGTTTGTATAGTTAGGTTACAGAAGTTGATGGAACATGTTCAACTTTCAGGATCCAAAAAACAAAATAATTTTTAATTTCAAAGAGATGCAATTCAGTGAGAAATAAAAAAGTCATGCCAGGTCAAACCTCAACTAATGATATCAACATGTCTTAAATTTTTCCTGCATGAAGGACGGATGTCATGCTCTTCAGTAATTTGGGCACACAGAAGGGACTTGTGCACTTTCGCAGAATTAGGCAGTAATTGGGCACCGTGATTCCAGAACACTGACAGTGGTGCTTCCAAGGTCACACCACCTGAGAATGACTGTCTTTCCCCAGCGCTCTCCTCAGGGCACCCTTCACCTCTGCGTTCCTCAGGCTGTCAATCAGGGGGTTCAGCGTGGGGTTGAAAAGGCTATAAAACAGGGACAGGATCTTCTGCTGCTCCTCAGGATGGCGGGACTTGGGGGCCATGTACACGGCAATGGCGCTGCCAAAGAAGAGCCCCACCACGCAGAGGTGGGAGGAGCAGGTGGAGAAGGCCTTTCTGCGGCCCTCCCCCGACTGCACCCTCAGGATGGCAGCCAGGATGTGGCTGTAGGACACCAGCACCAGGCACAGGGGCCCCGCTAAGATGAACACACAGGATGCAAAGATGACGACTTGATTGAGCCTGGTGTCAGCACAGGCCAGCTTGAGGACAGACAGGATTTCACAGAAGAAGTGGCTGATTTCATGAGACCCACAGAAGGGCAGCCTCAGCATGAGAACCACATGGACCAGGGCCAGGAGGGAGCCACATGCCCAGGAAGTGATGACCAAAGTGTTGCAGACCCTCCAGCCCATGATGGTACAATATTGGAGTGGGTGGCAGATGGCCACATAGCGGTCATAGGACATCACCACCAGGAGGAGACATTCTATGTGTGCAAAAGTCAAAAAGAGAAAGGTCTGAGTCATGCAGCCTGCAAAGGAGATGGGCTTGGCTGGGTTCAGCAGGTTCACCAGCATCTGGGGCACTGTGTTGCAGGCATAGGCGATGTCCATGATGGCCAGGTGTGAGAGGAAGAAGTACATGGGGGTGTGCAGTCTGCTGTCCAGGCAGATGAGCCCCAGGATGAGCCCATTCCCCAGCAGGGTGAAGGTGTAGAAGAAAGTGGAAACCCCCAAAAAGATAAGGTGAATCCTTGAGCCAAGACAAAATCCCAGTAGGATGAACTCTGTGACCATTGTCTGATTTTCTTCCATCTCACTGTTATAGAGAGAATCAAGCACTATTATTTTACACCATGCATTTCATTTATTATTTCTTTGAGTATAAGTGTGCACAAGCACTTTGAAGAACACATTTAATTATAAATAAGGTATTATCTATTAAACATTTAAATTTACTTCTTGCTTGTAAACTAAACTTTTAATTTGATTTTCAATTTTTAGACAAGAAATAGGTCACTGTGATCAGTTACTCAGAGTCATTGACACTGATGTAATTAGGAACCAGCAAATTCAAAGAAAGAAAATACCCATGAACATAGATTGCTTCAGAGCTTCACATGTACACGTCTGCCACAATGTTACTGGATAATAGACATAGTAATTGAAGAACTTTTAAAATGAGAATAGTTCCAGTAAAGAAAAGAATATTCATTAAAAAAAAGAGTGCTTTATATTGTTTTATCCAAAGCAAATCATTAAATATCAACTTTTTATTGTAATACTATTTTAATAGACAAATAATTGTATGCATGTGTATTGTATAATGTGATGTTCTGGTACATGTATAAAATGTGGGTAGTTTTGAGTTAGGGAGTAGGAAGAAAGCAGTGCAGATGATATATGTTTATATGATGATTTATATTGTCTATATATTTATTTCTATACAAAATATGCAGTCATTTATATGCACTTATGCATCCAAAATGTGTGTTATGGTCTTAAGCATGGAAGCAAATCAAACTTTTCAATTTGGCAACTGGCCATCTGGATGATTCAGAGAATTTATTAATTATTACTATAAAACATTTCTGTAACAGTCCATAGAGATTATGGCCATTTGTTCTCATCAAGGTACCTACCCAATAAGCCTGATTCTGTGTGCACTTGTGTGTATGTGTCATTGTGTCCTCATCGCTCTCAAGGGTCTGGAGGTTGGCTGTGGCCAGTCCTATGTACATGTATGTAAAGACAGATGTAGACAGAATTTTACATGAATTATCTATAAATACTAAATTTTCTCAGTTTAGATACACCTAGAAATAAAATAAGGAAGTACTAGACCCAGTTGCTGTTAATCCCATCCTTCATATTTGAAACAAACACACTCTACCTGAGATTGAAAACACTGTAATTTCTTGTTTAAATGGAAACCATGATCAACTGCAGCAAAAATACTCTTACAAGTGACAAGTAAATAATAGAAAATACCACCAATTCTTAATTTCTTGTATCAATCTCTTTGTAAAAGTTGCATTTAGCAAACTATTAATCATAAATTCTTATTAGAGATAAGATACTTACTTAGCCTATGAACTGGAGGTATGCTACATTGAGGAATTTGACTTTTGGACCTTAAATCTTGTGTCATATTTTCATCAATAAACCACGTTGTAGTTCAAATATTTGTCACTGCTATTAAAAATGCAAAATAACTTGTGGCTTAGCCACTTTTGCATAATTATTATGAGGACTGAGACAGTTTTTGTCAGTGTCTTGCTCAACTGGCATTAATAGCAATGGAAATTTCCATGAGTGTTGCCCAAGGAATTTGTGTCTAAGAGACAGGATTGCATCCTGAGAAATAGACTTGCAAAATACACATGTAACTGATGAGAATAAGAAGTTAGAGGTAGAAAACAAGAAATACCAGGAAAAATGTAAATGCAGAGTTTGGACACCTCCAAAAGTCGACTATAGGTGTTTTGAAACTCCCCCAGATGCAAGACAGGTGATCCCGAGTAACTGAGTGAGCCCAAATGTAGCCAGGTTTGTGAGGAACCTGTGTGGAGAAAGACAGAAAAAGGAGGGAGCTGATCATTTTGGAGTGTGGACATCAGGTGAGCGGGGCTACATTTAGCAATGCTCACACTGTACCCTTCAGGGGAAGGGAGGAAGAGACCTCTGTATGCAGACCACCCAGTGGCTGAATGTCTGCTGTCCATGCAGATGCTTTGCCTGATCAGTAATCAACATTTCCACCAAGCTTGGTCTCTGATCAGCTCCGTTACTTTAATTCTTCTATCAACTATTAAGTAATAATTTTTTTTTCCTGGAGCAGATTACTTCTACAAAGAAGAAATGTGTTTATTAGCATAATTCTTTGCTCAGTTTGCAGTTACATTTTTGAAGGTATTCTGGCTCATACCTTGTCCTATTGTGGGTTAGGATGGCATGATGCGGTTCCTGAACACAGTTTCCCTGGCTGAATCTCAAAGTAGAACCAACCTCACACTGCTGCAACTTCCTTTAAACAAGACTCAGGGAAAGAAACAGCCACCTTCCTAGTATTGACGAAAAATGAAATCATCTTGACATGAAAATCACCTAAATAATATATTTACAATATGTTCACACAACACTGAGGCTGATATGATTTTAAGTTAATATTAAGATTTTCCATGGTTGAGAAACTATCTACATTTATTTTTTAAACACATGAGGCATTGGTAAATGTATGATTTGTGAAAGAAGCATTCAAATTTACTCACTTAAAAATACTAATTTCCCTTCCCAATTTTCGTTTATTTTACCCAAAAGAAAAGCAAAAGAAAAAAAAAACCCATAGTGCCATGCATAATAATTTGATAGAAAATGGTAGGGACAGGTGAAAGTGTTCCATATATGTATGTTCAGAAATGTAGCCCTTTTATTTCAGTCTTGATATGTTTTAAAACAGGTAAGTAGTTTTCCTAATTTTTGTATCCCTGGCAATTAATACACATCAGTTAAATGGCAAATAAATAAAAACAAATCAGCAAAGAACTATGTATTGATATCCTTGTATTAGATCTACTATAATGTAGTGTACTGTAATTAGTAGACTAATTTTATCAAATTTATCCCATTTTCCACAAGGGAACCTAGAGCTATGATGGAGAAGAATCTCACTCCTGGTGATTTGTAATCAAATAAGATTTTTAAAACTTGATAAGAACTACTGAAGGGGCACAAAGTGTTAAAAACTTGACTTTGTGGTATGTATATTTTATGTATTTTTATTGGCTTTTTAATACTCATATGATATAACTAATAGTAATTTAAAATAATCAATTAGAAAAAAATTAAATTTTCCTAATTCCTGGAGACAGAAAATTGGGTGCATTACATTCCCATTCCAAATGTTCATTTTAGGCATTTTGATGTACATTAACTGATATTTCTTTGATTTCAGGGTATTAACATTGGCAAATTAGTGCCAGGAATACACATCCAGGAAGCTACAGTTCTAATATAAATTTCTAAGAAAGAAAACATTTTTTAATATAGAAACAAAACACCAGAACTTGATAGATTGTGCATTTCAAAAAGTAAATCTTGGTTTGCTGAGCTGTCAGGCTCTGTTCTCTGTGTCAAGCTTGGGTGAGGCAGACCCTAAGATGATCACCCATTGTGATCCGCAGCTCAGCTGAACTGAAGGGCTGTTTACTCACAAGGAACGTGGGGGTGATGAACACTCATTACTTGTGCTGCTTACAGAGTTATAGGTAGAGTTTCCTAGGTTATCTTCTGTAGGTATGGGCAGGTAAGCTTAGTGATTTTTCTGGACATTGGTCCTGTCCTGCACCGGGAAGAAGAAATGAGGGTCAGTTTTGTGTGAGTGACTGTGTGAGCAATCTGACAACAAATGCCCAACTCCCGAGGGCCTCCTGTGTGCTGGACACTGTCAGGGCACAGAGTGCAGCATAGATGGTTCTCACCTTAGGAGGATTTACTTGGGATGCTGAACTTCAGGAGCGGGAAAAGAGATAAATTACAACCTAGACACTAACACAATAATCCTGTGGGAAAAAAACCCCCACCACCAACAACCCTTAAGTCTTAATGACTGTCTCTTTCTTGTCAGTTTGTTACCATCTAATGCCTCAGTCCCTGTCCTGGTTCTATCCCCACAAGGACGATGTGTCCTCCAAGACACGGAAAATCTAACATGTGTACAGATATCTGAGTCAATTTTCGGTGCCAGATGTTGTCTTAATGCTACGTTCAGTGGAAGGTGTACAGCAAACTATCCACATGGATACTCCATTACAATAAATATATCCTTGTAAATTTAGTATGGATGGTGACTACCGAGAAGAATAAAACACATATTTATAAAATAACCAACATACATTAATTTTCCTGAAATGTAACGTCACTTGATAATATACCGTGGTCTAATTTCCTTTGGCTTGGAAAATCTTTCCATGCATTTGATCTCAACCCATAACACAGAAATTCCTTACTTCTTTGTTTAAACAGTGTCATTATCCCTAAATAAACCTGTCATACCAACATTCCTCCACCAGTGAATCAAAAATCTTCAAATTCTAAACACTTTTACATAATTTGTCCACCAAATGTGCACATAGCTTTTTCCAGGACTGTTTATATGAAATGGGAATGATGAGCATATCTATCCAAGTTTAATATAGATGACTTATCTGTCTTCCTGATACTGAAATGAAGAGTGGCAGTAACAGAGTGATCATTGTCCTGAGACGAGATGGGACAACCTGAGCAGAGAGGAGTTGGTGGTTCAGAGAAATAAGGCGCCCTGGTCAGTCCCCACACTTGGTCTCAAGGATCTCAGCAGAGGAAGCACCTGGAAGCCCTGTGCTGTTTTCTCAGAGCTTCTGTGGGAGCTGCAGGACCCGGGCTTCTGTTCCTGACTGAAATGCAGTAGAATCCTCAGAACAGGTTTCATTCTCTAGGGCTCAACCCAGTTGGCAGCTCTTGAGGGCTCACTGGGTGCCTGGCCCATGAGACACTGTCCATGCCTGTCTCTGCTGGGAAGAAGAGACAAAGCAATTTCCCTTTTCTATTTCTGTCTTCATCCCAGCAGGACCCTCAATTAGGAAACACAGACAGCCACACAGCACACCTCTGGGATGAGAGGTCTCCTTCCAGTCCCTGGACACTTGGCATGATTGGCCCCTCACACAACCCAGCACTTCCCCAGGCTCCATAGGGAGCAGGTGAGTCTTTGGGAAGCAGGACCAGTGTGACCATGAATGCCATTCTGCCATCCCCTCTGCAGCTCAGCTTCTCTGTGATGTCCTCTGGGCCTCTCTCCTGCAGCAGAAGTGGGCAGAAAAGACCTGAAAAGGGATGTGGTTGCAAGTTACACACTGAGGTGTGGAGATGCTGTGGGGAGCTGTGGGGCAGACTGGGGAGTCAAGGAGGGACCCAGATGTCCCAGGAGGACAGATTAGGACCAGGCTGGAGGGAGAGTTTTCAGGGACCAACCGTGAGTGCAGGTCATCTACTGGGAATATCCTCTAATCTCTGTTCTGAAGAGAGGAGATTCTGTGTTCCATCACTCCTGGCAGGAGGAACGATTTCTCTCCATGGCAGCTTCCCCTTGAAGCTTGCTTTCTGAGAAGATTTCCTATTTCAGGCATTGTTGTATTTATTTGTAATTCACTTTATTATTTTATTAGATATAACCATGTCAAAGTGTGATTTTGGAAATCTTATATCAACCAGTCATACTGATCATAAACTAGTTAGTTCCTTATAGTGTAATCCTTGACGTGCTAGTGTTATGGCATAATTTAAGGAAAATGACTCACATGTATCAAATTTTGAGAAGGTGCATGCGTGCTCTGACTCTACACATCTACCATGAGGATAAACACACTCGGGGCTATAAAATAATTGCTCCTGATTGTATGAAAACCTTGCTGTATAGTTGGCTTTGTAAAAATATTGGAACCCTTTCTTTTGATGTTCCAGGAGACCTATAGAAAATGTAAAAATAAGGATAATATAGGAGAAAATATAGTAGCAACGTGAATTAATATTTCTTTTTTTTGCTTAAATTCTTTCATTGGTACATTTTAAGTATACAATACATTTACATTTATCATTAGGTGCTTGTACCTGTACATGATGTATCTTGGTTCTTATTTTTTCCCCATTACCTGTGTGCCCTTCACCCCCTCCACTCTTCCCTATTTACATAGATTTTGTTTCCATTTTTTTCTGAATCAACATTTCTGAAAATAGTCATTTTAGGATATAGTTCTATATTCAATTCCATTTGCACACTAGTTATATAAGTACTTTAGAGTATAAAAGTGAATAAAACCTTGAAGATGAGAAGAAATTAAACATATTTATGATACCAAATTTAAACCTAGGAAAGTTTATCATTTCAAAATTACATGTTTTCTAAGGTTAACTGTGTGGGTAGTGAGTTTTGAAATATTTCCAAGTTTATGCAATTAAATTGGTTTTATTTTAAAACTCGAAAGAAAAAATATATTGATTTTATGTAGTGTGTAAACATGAAAAAACATATACCAAATCATTCAGGTGTGTGTGTGTGTGCATGTGTTGTTGAGGACTGAACCCAGGGCTTCACACATGCTAGGCAAATATTCTACCATTCAGTCACACCCTATAAATATACATTTTTTAGATGTCAAAATTGAAAGTCTGTAAAACTGAATGTGGTCCTTCCTTGTGGTTTATCAATGCATGCCAGTCCAATGTGAAGGCAATATTTGGATTATCTCTAACAGATACTCCATTGACAAGTAGAGACAATAACTCTCACTTTCTGTAACTCAACAGAGAATAGCTTCTTACACACTTATCTGGGGTATTGTGCTTAGACTTCATCTTGCAAGAAAAAAATCACTTGCCCCATAAGATGGTTTCAGAACATATTCACAATGAGTCAATTATAAGCAAAATCTCCTGTTCCATGAAACTTAATAAATTTATGAAAAAAATGTCATGTGATCAAATAAGTTTGAGGAACAGTAGTGACAACTGGAATAGAATTCTTTTCCCAGAATAATTTTTATAGCTTTCACTATGCTAATACAAAATCGTGAGCCTTAAGATGAGACATCTAATACGTAATCATTCAAAAAGTTATTTTGCCACATATGTTTGTAAAGTCCTCTGTAGGAATTAGTGTCCTGATGAAAGTATTTTGGGAGATAGAGAGCTGGATTGGTTGATGAAGATAGATATTATAGGAGATATTATAGAAGGCATTATTTGGAAACAATGGCTTCCAAATCTTGGCATCATTACTGATTAGTCACACTATGATTTGCTGCTGATAACATTGAAGACATAGATTTCTAGAATTTATCCCATAGCTACTGACTCAGCCATCCAATGATAGGGCAGGAGACAGTTCTATTTTAACTAAATGTCTGAAGTAGTGCTCATTCTCTGAATGATTAGGACCCTCTTAAAACGACAACTTCCTTAGCCACTGTTAACCATGACACTACAATTTTTTCACAAAAGGCTCTATTCCAAAACTCTCTTTAAAGTATTCTTCACTTCTGAGTTCCTAAGACTATAGATCAGGGGGTTGAGCATGGGATTGAAAAGGCTATGAAACAGCAGGAGATATTTCTTCTCCTTGGGGTTTCCATATCTGGGTGCAACATACATGATAATGGCTGTGCCATAGAAGAGTCCAACCACACAGAGGTGGGAGGAGCAGGTGGAGAAGGCTTTTCTTTTACCTTCTCCTGACTGGATCTTCACGATGGCACAGAGGATACACAAATATGAGACTACAATCATGGAGAATGGGCCCAGCAACACAAACCCTACCCCAGCCAAGACTATGTTCTCATTAATGTGCGTATCTGCACAGGCAAGTTTAAGAACAGCCATAATTTCACAGAAAAAGTGATTGACTTTCGTGGACATACAAAAGGGTAAAGGTAGAAGTAACACTAGGTGAATGAGGGACAGAAGAAATCCAATGGTCCAGGAAGTCACTGCCAGGGTGATGCAGACCCTCCAGCTCATGATGGCAGAATACCGGAGCGGGTGGCAGATGGCTACATAGCGGTCATAGGACATCACCACCAGGAGCAGACATTCCGTGATAGCAAAAGTCAGAAAGAGAAAGGTCTGAGTCATGCAGCCTGCAAAGGAGATGGGCTTGGCTGGGTTCAGCAGGTTCACCAGCATCTGGGGCACTGTGTTGCAGGCATAGGCGATGTCCATGATGGCCAGGTGTGAGAGGAAGAAGTACATGGGGGTGTGCAGTCTGCTGTCCAGGCAGATGAGCCCCAGGATGAGCCCATTCCCCAGCAGGGTGAAGGCGTAGAACAGGGAGAAGAGGCCAAAGAGGAGCAGCTGCATGCTTGGGTTAAGAAGGAATCCCAGGAGGATGAACTCTGTGACGGAGGTGGTATCATTTCCCATATCCCCGTGACAGAGGAAACGGAGGTGGTTATCACTGTTTAAGAGAAGAGTTTAAACACAGATTGGTGCTAACTTATTCTATCAACACTCATTTGTGGTGGTAGCAAAATGTTCAGGCAGATAAAACAAATTGATACATTCTTAAATGAATGTTTAAAGATGTTATTCAATAGATGTCTTAGTTACTTTTCTCATTGCTGAGACAAAATACCTGACACCCAAAGTTAAAGGAGGAAAGGTTGATGTGGCTTACAATTTGTAGAGGTTTCTTTCCATAGTTGGCTGGCTCAAAGGCAGGGTGCCATGGCACAGGGGGATTGCAGAGGAGAAACAGTTCATGGCAAAAAGGAGAAGGCAGAAGACAACAAAGTAGTGAAGAAGCAAGCATCAGCATTAGCCCTCTTTCTGTCTCTTGTATTCCATCCAGGCTACTTACCTTTAGGATGGGTAGCACTTAAAACCAGGGTGGGCCTTCCTTAATCCCAGCATCACACACTCTAGATCTGGCCACCTCTGATAAACCTCACCTATGCCTGCATGAGGCTTTGGGGGGACATCTAGATACAAATCATAACAATAACCCTAAAGTAAGTTTTAAAAAATCTTACATGCACTTAGATACATTTCTTTCTTAATGTCTCTAACATTTTTAATGAAGCTAAAAATTCAAGATAAAAATTTTATCCTATTTTAATCTAACTGATTAATTCAATGGGCTACCTCATATTCTTCAAATAAATTTTGCTTTTCTTGGATTATATTATTCATAATTAGTTGTTTTTGAGAAACAAAGAGCCCCAGCTGATGATGCATATGTCAGAGTTTTCAAATGGCAATAAGTTAGATGTTGAGTTGGAAGGGTTCCATAAAGGCAGAGTAAGCTGAGGTTCAATATGCCATCGGCCAAATGCACCCTGGCTGTTCACCTTTAACGTGTGTGTTTACACATACTCCCTGACATCAGTCTCCACCTGCACAATGAATATCTCCCTGAATCTCTCACGTAAATATAAAGACATGTTCAGTCTTAAGCCTTATTCTTGTTATTTAGTTTTTCACAATTAATATTTGGATAAGCATGTATGTGAATGACTGAAAAGTTTTTTTTCCTTTCTTTTTCATTGCTATCAAGACGAGGAAACAGAATCGGGGTGTTTGTTGGCTTTAGATTCAATATCGACAAACTCTACAGTTTTAGTGGAGTTTTACCTTGCATGTGATCGGCAATGGCTCATCTTCCATGAGAAATGCTGCAGACTGGGGTCTCTAAAATCTCTGCAAGATTGAACTAAATAACATTTCAAATTCCTTCACCTCGTAGTAAAAATGTACATCCAAACATGATATTGCCTTTCATGCTTAAATTTTATTCTCATTTTTATATAAAGGGAATTTGCCTGGGAGATAGCAAGAAAGAGTAATGATCCCCAATTTAAATTGTCATAAAACTATAAATTGAAGACACTAAAACGTCATAAAATATTATCCCATTTACCTTGGACCTCTCTTACCACCATTCCAAATACAAGTGGCTTGCTCAGACTGGTTAAAATAAAATAATATACAAGTATTCCTGATTTCCTATTATTTACCTAACATTCTTAGAGTGGAACTATCAATAAATAAAACTCTGAGCTACTCAGACTATGTGTAGCATCATAAGATTCTGTGTAATAAATAAGCATTTGTACACTTGTCTACTTGGCGTACTTCAATGTATGACACTTTATGCACAATTTAAAAAAATAAAATGTAAGTCTATTTTGTTAATATTAAGCTTTCACCAGGAAGTAATTTGCACATATATATAATTTCTCCGTAAAAATAGCTATTGGGCAAAATAACCATTAATGTATTGATTAGAGTAATATTAATATGATGACCATTAATATTTTAAATCAGTCTATCCTATTATCTAAAAGTACTAATGAGCAAAATTTGAGCATTAAGAGAATACATATATACTTTTGCATGATGTTAAAGTGTGACAGTAAAAGAGAACAAGCAAAGAAAATGACATTAAATTATATTTGACCAGAACTCACAAAGACAATTAGGAAATCTGCATAGCTAGAGATGGTTGCCGTATTAAGGACTTCAATAAATCTTCACGCAGATTAGGGAAACATTTCTCCAATGTGTCTGAATCTACTGAGAGTCCCAGACAGCTTGCTGCTTATCTGAGAACTGCCAAGAAAGAATGTTGGCCCTTTAGCTTGCATTTTGGAGGGAAAGTTTTTATTAATTCATTGTTTCCACAGAACACCTTCCCAATTGTCATGAGAGCTTTGCGTAGTGCATGAGAAAATAGGTCTCACTTGTACCAGCATGTTTCCTATAGAGAAATGAAGAAACCTACCATTGTTATTCTTCTAGCCTGCAGAGAATTGAGTCTATTTCTGTTTCTGTGGAAGTGTAGAGATAGTGAGATCATTAGACTCTAAGGCAAAAAACAGCCAATACATTCATAACTAAAAGGGTATGCATATATAAAGGCCATATCCTGGGACCGCATCACTATTGGATGAAATATGAAAGTTTTTATAGTTTCATGAATTTTTATGTTGTTCTAGTCTCAAACGTTCAAGAGGCACTTGGGAGATGGAAAGATCCATGTCCAGTTATTATTTGGTAGTGAATTAAAATTAATTCCTGAAGCCATATTTCTTTTACTGTTGTCTATTTTATCTACTCGGGGAGGTAGAAGAATGAATAATTTCCAAGGTCTAAGTCTAGATCATTTTCTTTTAAAAATTAATTTTATTGGTACATTTTAGGTTAGATCATTTTCAATAGAAATTCAGACCCTTCATCCTTGGGCATAGATCTGGAGATGTGTGGGCAGTCATGTTAGTGATTTGGAAGACCTGGGGCTTGTTGTGCTGTCTGAAAGAAGAATAAATGAAGCACTAGGATTGAGCAAACTTCACTGTTGAGTGTTTTCCTTCCTTGATAATATCTGTTCCTGTCCTTGGGGGAAACGATAGAATTCTGCAAAAGCAGATGACCAGCTCCTATTCTTTCAACAATTGTGGACAGGAATGAATCTATGAACTCTACCTATCAGAGTAGGCTGACACTACAATCACTGTGTCTATGTGGAGATGAGCATTCCACTTCTACAGGGTGTTGTTGACAATCCAGTGTTTTAAAGCTGTGTGTCAGCTCACAATTTACTTTGAGTCAGCAATCTCTGAGAAGTGCAGAACATGTTGGGGCTGGTAAATCTTTTGTAAATTGGATTATTTCTTAAGTTTATTTAGGATTGTTCATTGCTTATATATAAAAATTGAGGTGGGTTGGAAAGAGCTAAGCTACCAGGTGTTGGGCAGATAGTTAAAACATCGAGCTGAAGTAAGAGAACAGTCAAGCTTTTAATCACTTCATCTGGTGGTCAAAACAAGAGAGTAAAAGAAGGGTTGACTCTCCAAACTTCCATTTTCTTCATAAAATGCTATCAGCTGAGAAGTGGCTGGATCAACACAGATGTGGAGAATTAGCTTATTGTGGAGGGAGCTGGGTGCAAACTGCAAAAGTGATAGAGATTTAAACATTTTTTTATTTTAGATTTTGAAAACTATTTTAATGGCATCACACAGAAGAGTTAAATTAAGCAAATTTCCCAAGATTTCTTCTCTAAGTTTCACTTTTTTCTTAAATATTTTCTAATGTTTAGACAATTACTGATTTCATTAAATTTTGAACACTCCACCCCCTGCCCCATCCACCCCTAAAGAAACACGTCCAAGAGGATCAGTAGATGGCACTGCTAATTTGGAGAATCAATTCTTAAATGCATTAAAATTGATATTCTAGATGATTTGTGGTCGCTATTTTCATTACATATTTACATTGTGGAAATTGATAAAGCAGATGCAAGAAACTTAAAATTATCCGTATTGCAAATGAAATAACTATTAATATTTTAGTGTATACCCAAGTTTTGTATACATATATTTTAAAAAGTGGAATATATCAGCTCACTAACTGGGTTTTTAAAGGAAAATGTATTATAAACATATCATCTTATTATTGTCTTTATAGTACGATTTCTTGTAGCTATTTATCAAACACATCATAATTTAATCAATGATCTGTTATAGGAAATTAGATGATCCCAATATCATATTCTCATAAATAACTCTGTCAGAAACATCTGTGTGCTTTGATAGGAACACAGTTGATCTCAGTGTGTAGAACTTTCCTCCTACAGCCTTCTAAATTAATCAGGTCTAAATGATTTTCAGCAGATTCCCTAAGATTTCCTTTCTACAGGATCATGTCACTTGACCCTGTAGGTTTACTCATTCCTTTCTAAACTGGATGCTGTTTATTTCTTTTTCTTATTTAACTGCCCTTACTTTACCTTCCAGTGCAAGGCTCAATAGAAACAACAAGTGTGAACATCTTTGATCTTGTTCTTTTTGTCTTATGGAGAAAGCATCCAGCACGTAACAATTAATTATAATTTTACTGTTTTTTCATCTATCCTTTATCAAATGGAAGAAGTTTCTTTGTTTCTATTTTGTTAAAGACATGAAGAGGTGTTGGAATTGTCAAATGCTTTAATTATATGCGATGAGCGATCATAGTTTCTTTCCTTTAATTAACATGATATATTACGTTGAACTTTAAATGTTAAAATAATCTTGCACTACTAGAATAAATTTCACTTAGTCATAGTGTTTAATCCTTTTCATGTTTGCTGGATTAATTTGGTTTCTAGTACCAAGGATTGTTACATCTATTTACATAAGGACACTGGTCTATAGTTTTCATTTCTTGTAATGTCTTTCATATTGGTGCTATTGACTTTGAAGAATGAGTTTCAAAACATTTCTGTTTGTTTCCTATGTTTTGAAAGATTTTTATGAGGAGGTAGTAGTAATTCTTTTTAAAATTTAGCATACTTAACTACTTTAGCAATGTGGTCCATGGCTTTTCTTGGTATGCTTTAAAATTACTAACTTAACCTCTTTACTTACTATAACTTTATTAAAATTATTTATTTTTGAATGGTTGGTAGATGGCTTCTTTAGGAATTTTTTTTAATCCCAGTTTCTAATTTGGGGGGACAGTTTCTCATAGTATTCTCTGACAATCTGTTTCACAAAGGTTGATCTTGGTGTTCCTTTACAGCTCTGATTTTATTAATTTGACTCTTTTTTCTTTTTATATGCCAGTTAATTTAACTAAAGTTTGTCAATTTTGATCTTTTAAAAAAACTTATTTTCATTGATTTTATTTATTTATTTTCTATTTTCAATTTCACTTATCCATTTTATGGAATATTATTTCATTTTTTTCTGCTTGCTTTATGTTTAATTTCTTTGAAAATGGGTGATTTTTCAATGAAATATTAAGACGTTGATGCAAATATCAGAGGACAAAAGCATTCTACTTTTTCCCTCTCTCCAAATAGGAGTGATTTTCAAGATTGGAATTTAATCCAAAAACTGGATTTATACTCCACTGACAGTTTTCAACAGGGAGGAGTAACTTATAAAGAAAGCCTAAGTTATACTTTACTATAGTGTAAATATAATGTAATTCATAATTGCAAACTTTATAAATACAAATTATAAAGTAGTGTAAATTATAATAATATATTTGTTTTTACTGTCATTTCGGTCTTTTCTGATCTTCTAAATCAAACTAAACCCAAAGAAAGCAGAAGAAATGAAGTTATGTAGATTAGAATGGATATAAATGAAATTGAACATAACAAATAATAAATAAAATCAAGGCCAAAAGTTCAAATTCTATTTGAGCAATAACCATTTATATAGCAAACTTCTAATCTGGCAATTTTCCTTCAGCAATCCACATGTTTTAGAGGAAGGCTCAAATGTGCCAACAGTTTATCCACTCGTGCCTCCAGTGCTGCTCTTCCGCAAAACCCTGTGGAAGGCGCCCTGCACTTGTGCGTTCCGCAGCCTGTAGACGATGGGATTCAGCACTGGGTTAAAGAGACTGTGAAACAGTGACAGCTTCTCCTGCTCCTCCCGTTGATTAGAGTCTGGAGCCATATAAACCAGCATGGCTATACCAAAGAAGAGCCCAACCACACAGAGGTGGGAGGAACGGGTGGAGAAGGCCTTTACGCGGCCCTGCTTGGACTGGATTTTCAGGATGGCCCAGAGGATGTTCATGTAGGAGACAAGCATTAAGGAGATGGGGCCGACTAAGACAAAAACACAGGCTGCCAGGATGACGACTTGGTTGAGCCAAGTGTCAGCACAGGCCAGCTTGAGGACAGCCAGGATTTCACAGAAGAGGTGGTTCACTTCCTGGGGCCCACAAAAGGGCAGCCTCAGTAGGAGAATTGCATGTACCATGGAAAGGGTAAATCCAAATGACCAGGAAGTTGCAGCAAGGGCCATGCATACTCTCCAGCTCATGATGACAGTGTAATGGAGGGGGTGGCAGATGGCCACATACCGGTCATAAGACATTGCCACCAAAATGAGGCACTCTGTAGCAGCGAAGCCCAAGTACAAGAATGTCTGCATTATGCATGGGCCAAAGGAAATGGTTCTCCTGTGGCTCATGAGGTTCCCCAGCATCTTGGGGACATTTGTTGGACGCATAGCACATGTCAAGGACAGCCAGGTGTGAGAGGAAGAAGTACATAGATAGGGGTGTGCAGTCTGGGGTCCAGGTAGATGAGTCCCAAGATTATGCCATTTGCCAGGAGGCTGAAGATGTACAACAGGGAGAACACCCAGATGAGGAACACCTCCATCTCTGCGCTGAGCTGGAATCCCACCAAGACGAACTGGGTGACCCAGGACTGGTTGCCTCCCTTGTGTAAATGATGTTCTATCAAGGAATGAAGCGTGACAAAATTGTCAGGGCTGAGGAATCAATAAAAAGTGGATTTAATTACCTCAAAAGGAGCTCAGAGAAAAGTGGTGTGTGTAATCTTATTTGACATCCTCCTCATTCTTTGTATTTGTACTGTTTTTTAAACATTTTGCTATGAAATATATTTAAACATATAGAGAAATGTCAAAAATTATGCAGACTCCCATCCACCTTCACCTAGATTCAGCAAATGTTGATATTTCATTTTGTCTTATACTATTTCTCTCTATGTGCCTAATGTTTTTAGCCATTTAAAATTCAAGTGTGGAGATGGTGCCCATTTAGTCCTAAATTTCTCTTTTTTTCACCAAGAAAAAGGACATTCCTTAACCCAGCCACACTATAATTATAAAAATCAGGAGATTCATTATTGGCATGTTTCCTTTCTCTAATATCTAGTATTCTTTCACCATTATTTATCTAGGACCTAATCCAAAACTAAGTATTATATTTAGTATTATCTCTCTTTAGCTCATTGCACCTAGATTACTTATTCCGCCTTTTTGTAAATTTCCAGGCATTGATATTTTCAAAAATAGAATTTGGTAGACTGTACCTCAAATTGAGAATATATAGTGCTTCTTATATTTTGATTCAAATTATTCCCTTTCTGCAGAAAAAAAATTGTTCTCAGTGCATTATGAGTGGGTGAATGATGTTAATTTGTCCCATTGTTGAGGAAGCTAACCTTGATCACTTGGTGAAAATATTGCTTCCCAGATATCTCTAAAATTACTATTTTTCCTAATTAGTTTATGGAGCACCTATTAAAATTATTATATAAATGTATTGTTCCTCATGAAGGAGCTAGTCACTAGTTCATTTTATTCTCTATCTAGTCTTGGCATCTATTGATTATTTTGTCTGATTCACTTATTAGTAAGAATAATTGAAAATGTGTAGTCTTATCTCCATCATTGATTTTATACTTATTAATTGATAATTTTATATAAAAATCTATGTGTAACTATGTATCTATCTACCTAATGATAATTTCTGGACTCATGAATTTTTCATCATTTTTTTGGTACTTTATTTTTCTACTTTCAGACCTCTCAAACTAGTTCCTCTGTCCCATTATCTTGTTTCTATCATTTTGGGCACTTTTTCATTTCTGATATGATCAGAAGTTTAAGGTTCATATGTGCCATTCCCAACTCCAGCCACAAAATAGCAATTTTTCCAAGAAGGTCTAGTTATTTTTAGTGATGAATAATATTTATAAACCAATATCTGGTGTTTATTCACCTTTTCATAATTTATGTTTTTATCATGATAATTTAAATTTTATAATAATTTTATTGTTATTTATATTATGAGGATATAATGCATTTCTCGTATTCTCATTTAAAAGGATAAGCATATAATTTGGAACAGTATACAAATAGTTGCAGAGGATAATACATTCTCCAGATTATTTTTAAAAATTGTATATAATTTAAGTGGCTTCCTTTATAGAGTTAAAACTGTTACTAAAGAATTTAAGCAAAAAACAAATAAAGTTAATGGGAAGGAATGTATAATTTAAAAAAACTGTTACTAAAATAACATTAGCATTGCAGAACATGTTCTTGATGGTATTTACTATTTTATTATTAGTGAAAATACATATTTGTAATCATAGCACCTTATTAATCATCAGGGTCATACTATTTTGTTTGTTTGATTTTTGGTTTTTGGTTTTTTTGAGGCAGGGTCTTGTTATGTAGTTCAGGCTGGGCTTGAGCTCACTATATAACCCAGGCTAGCCTCGAACTCATGGTAATCCTCCTGCCTCAGCCTCCTGAGAGCTGGGACTACAGGCATGTGCCACCATGCCAGGGCAACTTCATATTATTATATGACTTTTAATCTTATTAACAAAATCATAGATTCTTGAACATTTTAGATTTAGAGATTAGTACTTCAAATGTAATCCATTTGTGAAGAAGATAGTACCTGCCTTGTTTCAGATTCTGATGCAGTTTTAAGTTTCTTAGAAAACCATTATGAAACTCTAGTTGAAAAGTTAAAGGAGTAATACCTTGAAACGTGCAATCAAAGGTGATCATTGTTAATAATTGTATAAAGTTATATTTTATTACTATACATTGGGTTTTCATATATTATCACAAACTTAAAATTATACAAAACAGTTTGACAATATCTATTATTTAAAATATATCAAGAATTATTTTATATGTCAATATATTTATTTGCTACAAACTTTGAAACATATATAATCATATATTATCTCATTGCTAGATTGCATACAGTTTAATGTTGCAATAATTAAAGTGTTATATACACTTGAAGTTATGAAATCTGATAGTAAATTCTGAGACTTGGTAGTGCTCACCTGAGTCAGTTTATCTATGTGTCTGTAAAAGGCAACTATCTCAATTCTAGTCTAGTCTAGAATAAAACAAGCAAAAATTGCAGGTATATTAAGGCTCATGCCTATAAGAATTGTGCCATGGGAAAGGGGCCTAACCCAGCCATTATGAGACTAACCCCAAATTCACTTTCCCCTTGCTATACCCCACGTTCAAGGGTGCTCCTTTCATGCTGGCTGCAGAGTGACATTGACCCCTTCTGCCGCGGTGAAAGCCTGTGTAAAATCGGCTTCCTTTGGCTTGTTCTTACTGCAACGTGATATTAAATACTAAGAAAGAAAGATGAAATAGATATTAATATTTCACAAAGCTCAAGTACACTTGGCTTGCAATGTGTGCAGTTATTTGGTTTCCAGGATGAAAGTCTCTCCTATTTTACCTGTAACCCCGAGCTACCCACCTTCTCAGTCAAAGGTCTGGATGTATTTTATGTAACATCTCTCTGTGTTTCTTACTCCTCGGATTCCATATGGGTCTGGTGAAACAATCATTCCAACAACACTCTTAGATTTCCTTCCCAGATGCCTTCCTACTCACATTATTAAGAGGTATGGATTTCTGATGCTGTGCTAATCTAATGTTTTCTTCTCAATTCCAATTTCTGGCTTGAGAGGAACTTCCATTCCACAGATGGATGACATCTAAATAATTTGACTCTTTACTGCTCATTAATCAAAGGGCATGTCTTTACCCATGTGGGAATTACAAGCTAAGCAATATTTTAAAATAATTAATGTCATATTACTTAAAATACTGCATAAATATAATTTCATTTCATCACATATGGCTTTCAGGAAGGGTTCCAAGAGCAATGTATTCATAGATAAATTTCTTAAAATGATACATCCAGTTTTTAAAATTAATTTTATTGGTATGTTTAAGATATACAATATAATGACATTCATCTTTGGAAATTTGCACCTTTACATAATCCATCTTGGTTCTTATGTTTTCCCCATTCTCCTGCCCTCCCTTCAACCCCTCCATCCCTCCCTATCTACAAAGACTTTGTTTCCATTTTTCCATTTTCTCATATTAATTCCATTCCCTTCTTTCCTTTCCCCTACCCCTCCCACTTCCCCTTCCCCTTTGCCCCTTTTCTTCCTATTTCACATTATCTAGTATACCTTTTAGTCCTTATTTACACTTTCAGTTTCTCACACTAGAGAAACTATTCGGTATTTACACAGATACATCCAGTTTTAATTGATACCTATTATTGATTTCATTTTTTCCCATTAAGCTTATTGGTACATTTTAGGTATACAATACAGTTACATTCATTATTGGGAACTTTTACCTTTACATGATGTATCTTGGTTCTTATTTTTTCCCCATCCCCCTGCCCTCCCTTCACCCCCTGTACACCCTCCCTATTTACAGAGACTTTGTTTCCATTTTTTCCTTTTCTCATATTTTTTCCTTTCCCTTCTTTCCTTTCCCCTACTGTGTGAATAAAGCTACATTTGATAATTTAGAAATACTGAGAATTTTGAACATCCCCTTGGCATATGTGAAGCATAAGTGAATGTACGTTTTCAGGCAGGTTTGTACTAAGTTGGAAAACACACACCTTTAGCCTCATTGTAGAAGCAGGATGGAGGTTTGTAGTGGAGTCATGAACTTTCGCAAAGGAGGCCCATGTTGGCAACCAAGTCCTATAAAATGAAAAGTTGCAGCTAGATCATGACTGGGCCCCATTAAAAGTCCACTGGCTAGGTAAGGGTACTTTTCTAGCAAATTGGAGGAGACTCCAAAGTGTAGTCTCTTGAGGCACATTTTACATGGAGAGGCTTACGTACTCAATAACAGCAGTTAAAAGAGTTATACCTTTAGGATAGGGATACAGATAATCCTGAAGATAAAGTGAAAAACAAGGTGGCATTGATACTAAATGTCATTTGAATGGAGATATGTCTTGTACTTCATGTCTATTATAACTAAAGTTGTTGCAGACACCACAGCTGTACAGAAAATATTCACTAACTAGATAAATGACAATTTATTCAGTTGAAGATTTAGTTATTAAAATATAATGTTATATTGAGTATATATTATATAATCTGTATATACAATGCATAATAATCTATTTCTAAGTATTGATCAAGATACGTTTCTACTTAAAAAAACCTGTTACAACTCAGTCATTTGAAACTTTAAAATGATAAAATAATAGTTTTTATAAAGAATAAACTTAAGCATAGTGATATGGATTACATTACATCTATAGACAAAATGCACACATTTAAATGTATCAATATCTGTAGTGGGTTGAATGATGACCTCGAAAAAGTTATGGCCACATCCTAATTCCTAGCACCTCTGAATGTTGTTTTATTTTGAAAAGAAAGTACATGCAGATGTGATTAATTTAAAGATCTTGAGATAATTCTCAATTTTATAGGTGGGCTCTAGTTCCAATGACAGTGTCCTTATGAGATAAAAG